TCGGCTTCAAGTCGCCGACAGGACGAGGTGAATCGCAATAGCAAGGATGACGACTCCAGGCATAAAAATGCAAAAACAAAAAACCACATAAACGGACGAAACTTACGTAACCGCTGCAGCGAAGGCAGGAGAGGCAAGAATTGTGGAAAATAAAGTATATTATTACTATTATAAGTTGGCAGGCAAATGTACTCACTTCTTGGAAGGGGGAGGGAAACAGTTTCCGTAAACAGGAACAAGCGGATTAATGTCTATAAATAATTCTGTACGTCGAGATGGAACTAGTCCGTGGCCACTTCAAGCTGTCAGTCGAGCTGATGACATCTTGATAAGAATTACATTTTCCCCGAGGTTCCGTGTGACAACCCCGCACGATTCCAACGCGGGAGTTAAAACTACGCGCATCGTCGAGCGTAGGGGGACGCTCGTTCTCCCTCTCTTTCCAACTGTGCTGTGACCGCTGCTTTGGCACTTCTTTACAAGGACATTACACATGGAGTATTTGTGTATGTATATACACGTATATATACACACACGTGTATGTGGGGAGCGGTAGTGGAGCGGTTATCGCGCTGCACTATGAACCCGGCGACCTGGGTTCGATTCCCGCTCACGGCCAACACCAGTGACAATTATCTGAATCGGTCCTTGGCCTCCCCTAGGTCGACTCAGCCTCTAATGAGTACCCAGTGCGATGTGTAAACATAGTCACTAGGGAGACAAAGGCGGCCGGGCGTGCTGATGGCCACCAACCCCCTCGTATGCCGTGCCAGCTTTCATAGGTGCTGCTAACAGCACTTGCCCTAACAGTCTGTTAAGGCTATATGGGGATATTTGTCTTTGTATACACGTGTATATAGAGAGAGTAATGTGGATGGACAAGAATGTTGTCCTTCCTGCGGAGGGAGCTGGTAGGAACGTTGGGTTGCTCGGTCAATGGCCAGGGTCAACGGCGGCACCACGTGGTGTATTCCGCAAATATGCCCGACTGTGAGGGCGGGCACAAGCCGGCGTGAGTAGGTTAAACGTTGAGTTTTATAAGGGCACCACGGGGTGACCAGCCCCTCCCCACCCAGCCTCTCCCCACCCTCCCCACCCAGCCCCTCCCCACCCTCCCCACCCAGCCCCACCCTCCCCACCCAGCCACGTTTAGAATCGACACGCGTTTGGAGAATTTGGCTGCCTCCAATTTCCACGTGAGACAGCCACTTCGTTGAGCTATTATTTGTGGCCAGGTCGCTTCTGAAAAAAGAGCTACGTAGCTCAGTGGGCCTTACCTGGCAAAAGTAAAAACGTAGGTTAAATACTCTTTTGTTCTTTCAGTAAAGTTACGTAAGGAGAAATAAAATAAAACAAATCACGACGTTTCGATCACAACACAAGCAATCTTCATCAGGTGGAACAACCACAGCAAGAAAAAATGGTGAAGTAGGCGAGAGAGCTACCGTGGCAAGAGGTTATATAGGTGAGAAAGGGGAGACGGGCAAGGGAGGAGAGAGAGAGAGGGGGGGAGCAGGGGAGGGGGGGGGGGCTACGTGAGTGCTAGGGGGAGAAGCAGTGAGGCTGGGGGGGAAGTGGATGGGGCTAGAAGTGGGAAGCTGAGTGTGGGACACGGGGGGGAAAGTAACTTGGAAAATATCTACTAGTACCCGGTGGGTATGATGGAAACAACCACAACCAGTTAAGGCGTTACCTGGTTAATAACATCCTTCCAATGATTGCTCAATTTGTATCCATCTTCTCGGTTGAAGTTATGTCTATGTTTATATATCTGGATGGCTTCATGAACAAACCTTTGATAGTAGCCCGAAGGTTTGCAGAGTACCTTGGTCTCGGAAATAAACAATATCATGAGAGCCGACAGCGTTGTAGCAATGGTCAGCCATGGCGGAGGTATTGGTTCTGCCGTGTTTCAGATCTGCCTTGTGTTGTTTCGTTTCCCCAATGTAACTGCTACCGCAGGTACAACTCAGTTTGTAGAATCCAGGGTATTGCATGTCAGGAATGACCTCCTTCACAGATGGGATTAGATCACGGATTTTGTGTACTGTATTGAATCGGACCTAGATCTTGTTTGTTCAAGATTTTGTAAATCTTTTTGGTAACACTCGCTATGTATGGTAAAGTGATGGTTTTGATTGGCTTCTCAGCATTTTTCTTGCTGTGATTGTTCCACCTGATAAAGATTGCTTGTGTTGCGATCGAAACGTCGTGATTTGTTTTATTTTATTTCTAGCTACGTGACTTTACCGAAAGAACCAAAGAGTATGGATTCCTGCAGTCACGAAAGCTTCAAATCAACGTAGGTTAAATAGTTTTGACCGAACTGAAGCCAACGTGGACACGCACTCAACCTGCACGGCTAGAGGTAAAGGCAGAGATTTAAGCCCCGCAATTTCCTTCTCACTCCATGCCTGGTGGAAGGACCACAACTGGACTCGAGTTGTTGTCCACCCGGCAGTACTGTTTGTTGCAAATTGCTGACCCGCCCTTACCGGACATCTGCGTGAGAGCTTCACAGCTTACACGTGTCTCAATCAATATTCGGATTCTGATCAATGGGTCAATCACAGTTAATCTATTGGCATCTGGACAGTGTGTATGTATGTATGTTGAACTTCTTTCGCAACGTAGGCAAGCCAACCGTGCTAACCCGAGGTGCGACAGTGTGAAAGACCAGGCCAAATATACCCTCTGGACGGTCCTTTTTGCCTGCTCTCCCACGCTTGACGAAATGTTGAGGTGCAGCCCTGCAATTGCCTGCTCACGCTACTGCTGGCGGAAGGGCCTCCACTCACGAGAGCCCCTCTAAGAGGGTATTGTTGGCCTACTCTTCCACACTGACCAGCCATCTTGAACGAGCTGGGAGTACCCACACTTTACCCCACCACAACACGCGACCCTGCCCATCAACCAACCGTGGTATACCTATTTGTACTGCCGGGTGGACAGAAGCGGGCGAGAATCGTTTCAACTGCCGCACCAAGAGATGGAATCGAACCGGCGACGTCGGAATCGCTGCTCCAGCATGCTCATAATCACGCCACTGCAGCTGCGTCGCATTTCCTGCACGCGGCGTTCATCCAGGACGCATGGGCGCAGCGCGGCGATGTCAATCACCCACAATCCCGCTCTGCGAAGGTGTACGGCTGGTGGGCGGGCGGGCGGGCGCGCATGCGCGTGTGTGCGCGTGTAAACATGTGTGTACGTGTGTACGTGTGTGCGCGTGTGTGTGTTTGTGAAGCTCGCGCGGTGAGCAGGAGACGTTTTGAGGGCTGGGGAGATATTTTTTTTTTCCCGTGGGGGAAAAGAACACCGATATGAAAATGTGTGTGCGCGTGTGCGAGCCTCGGAGGGACGTGTGCAGGATGGAGGGCTCAGGCTAAATCCATGGGGTAAATTAAAGGGGAGGGGGGGTGGACGAGGGGGGGGTGGATGAGAGAGGGGGGGGTGGCGGAACGTGGGAGGGGAATGCGAACATGGGCAAAGTGAAACGATCCGCTTTTGACCAAGCAGAGGAACCAAAACCAAATATTCAGCAGGCGCCAAGGGTCGGGATCGAACCCGCGGCCTCCTCGCACACCAGGCGAGGTAGTTATCATCTCCTAGCCACCGCGGCGTCTGCCGCGTGGGACTCGAACACGTCGGATGTCGTGCTCGAAGCGACGCGCGGAGCGGCTCGAAGCGACGCGCAGAGCGGCCCGTTCCCGCCGCTACCTGCCGGGGGCCGCGTCCCAACGACAACCTGCCCCGGCTTTTCCCCAGAGTGTGCGTCGCCAGACAAAAGCCCCTCGGCAGCCTTGCAGCCGTGTGACGAGTGACACGTGTGTAACGGCGGCACTCCCTAAGACTGTCAGCCCACACCGCTTTGTTTTTCAGGTGTGTAACCCACGGTAGACGCGGGCGCGCGCGCGAGTGTGTGCGCACACTGTGAGATTGGGGGCAAAGGTGCCGTCGCAACACAGACCCAATCGGCGCTGACCTGCTAAGCAAACACCCCGGCGTTGATCAAAGATTTTCTTTTTGTAAACTTTGCAAACACGTTTGTCTGCCTTTTTTTTTCTCCTTCTTCCGATTGTGCTATCAGCGTCATGCCAATCGGATATCCGCCAGAGCGGTCTAACACCTTCACGTTAGATCATGACATTGAGAAGGAATGATCGTAGCGCTACTACCTCCGCCGAAGTCCCTGTAAAAGCCCTCCCGTCCACCCGCCCGCACAGTACGGGGGCGGCACTTTCACAGTCGCCCTGCCACCACCAGTAGCATTGGTCGCATGCCAGTCAAAACTGACATTTTTTTTTATTTCTCGGGAGAAGGGATTAAGTGAAATTAAGTGCAGAACCAAGAATTTTATGTTACGAGTTTTTTGTGTGCAGTCATTGGTGACTCTCACTGGGATGATGCCATCAACCCCCTACACTTGAGAGAGCCTGCCATTACCGCAGGCGGCTGTCGGGATTCCAACCCAGCATTTCAGCGATGCCAGCTCAGTGCTCTGACCCCTGAGCCACTCCGTGACCTCTTGGATTCTGCAGCAAAGGAAACATGGCACCTGCCACTTTCAAACGCTGTACGTGCGCAAGAAAATCCCCATCGCAGCTCGAGAGGCCTGCGTTTGGCCACGGCACCACGTTGGCGCGGCACGAAGATTGCGTGGCACGACAATGAAGGGGCACAACAATGGAGGAGCGGCACGACAATGGCACAACGATGGAGCGGCACGACAATGGAGCGGCATGACAATATCACAACAATGGAGCGGCACGACAATGGCACAACAATGGAGCGGCACGACAATGGCACAACAATGGAGCGGCACGACAATGGAGCGGCATGACAATGCCACAACAATGGAGCGGCACGACAATGGCACAACAATGGAGCGGCACGACAATGCCACAACAATGGAGCGGCACGACAATGGAGCGGCACGACAATACCACAACGATGGCACGAGGATGGGGTATGAGACCGAGGTCAGGGTCACCAGGGCTCACCTGCTCCATGCGTCCGAGGCGAGTCTTGTTGTGGATTTCCGAGGTGAGGAGGTTGAAGCCCTGCCTCGCCGACAGGACCCTGAGCAGCTGCACCACGGTTCGACTGCCGCACTTCCCCACGCGGTTATAAACGAGCTGGCTCGGGAACGGCAATACCTGGGCACACACACACGCACGCACACACGCACACACGTGTAGGCATCGACGGTCACAGTTACGGTCGACGCAATTCGATTTTTGCAGGATACGATAGAAGCGGTTGCGACTTTGACGACCGTCACGCCAGATTGTTATTCCACCGCAGAGTCCTGTTTTTTTTTGTGGCTTGCTGTGACGTTCGGTGCAAATAAAGACAATTTAGATGTTGCCCGATCGCAATTCACTCGGCGCAAGCCTGCCACGAGGCATTTACTCATCGCAGCTTTACAATCTGCAAGCCTCGTGGGCTGTCGGTTACACAGTAGAGCTAATGAAACAATCTAATTAAATCGGCGGAAAGTTATGACGTTACAGAACTACTTACGACGTCGATTATTCCAGGAAACGTACGCGAAACAGTCGTTTAATAATAATGGGTGGCAATGTCACATTTCAAGCCGTACGCATTGAACTTCTTTCGCACCGTACGTAGCCGACCGCGCTAATCAGAGGTGCGTACACCGAGATGATGTCGCCGCATTGGCAGAAGACATTTGCGCGTTTTGGCAATCGCTTCATATGACTCGGCCCGTTTTGCCCAGGGCCAAGTCCCCTTATAGCAACGCAACTTTACGCGAAAACATTTCATGAAAAATTGGATCTTATTTAGCAAAAATTATTATTAGCTCCACCACCACCACTACTGACAGACGGATAGAGACAGATGGACAGGCAGAATGAGCTAATCTGTCAACTCTCTCAACCGCATTAAAAAGAAGGACAGCATAGGCAGACAGTGCGAGACGTTTAAATTGAGCATCATTCCCCCCTCTCTACCCCGTTCAGCAATTCAGAGCATGCGTGACCTTTGGGGGGGGTGGTGCGATCGGCTGTTTTAATGCGGCAAAAAAAAATGCAATGGCAGGGGAAAAATATTGCGCGGAAAGTAAATAAACTGTGACTGCTCACGTTTCCTCTCACCCTGCCCCCTCCCCAGCCAGCCCCCTCCCCCCGGCCGCTGCCCCCCGACAAACGATACTAATGCCGCGTCTTTTTCACACGTCGAAATTGCTTTCCTTGTTAATATTAAGGCACCAATTTTCCCAGCCGCTGAAACCATCTCGTTCTTTTTTTGTTTGCCACAAGAACATCTCCCCACGTACACCAGGGCTCACCAGTTAATATCGCGCCGATTACAACAATCAAACGTGACACCGAATCGTTTCCCGAGCGGCAATATCTCGCGCAAACAAAAAGCACGGCGCGCACACGCGCCGCCAAATGAATTGAGGACGCCCGCAAACGCAACGGTGACACCTCAGAGGCCCCTCGGAGCCTCGCGGGTGGATGGGGGGGGGTGAGAATTCGTGCCTTCGGCGAGCACCTCTTGAAGCCTGCACGGCGTACGTAGCAATGCTGTTGGCCGGCCAACACAATGCCTGGCCGCCTTTGTCTCTCCAGCTGCGGATGTTTACACACTGCGCCGGGTGTTATTTTATTGTTATCCGAAGCAGGACAGGCTCAGATAAATCGTCACCGGTGTTGGTGGCCACGATTGTGGAATTGAACTCGGGTCGGCGGGTTCGTCGCTCTCCACTGACACAAAGACAAAGGTCCCCCGTGTGGCCTTAACAGACTGTTGGGGGCAATTGCTGTTAGCGAGCACCTATGAAGCTAACACGGCACACGAGAGGGTGTGTGGCCAGCACCACGCCCAGCCGCCTTTGTCTCCCCAGTGGCGATGTTTACACACCATACCAGGTACTCGTTTGAGGTTCAGATAATCGTCACTGGTGTTGGCCGCGAGCGGAAATCGAACTCGGGTCGGCGGGTCCGTAGCCCCCCCTTTAACACAAATGCGCACGCACACACACGCGCACACACACGCGCGCACACACGCACACACACGCGCACACACACGCGCACACACACGCGCACACACGCGCACACACACGCACGTACGCGCGCACACACACGCGTGCACACACGCGCGCACACACACACGCACGCACACACACACGCGCACACACGCACGCACGCACACACCCGCTAAGACCATGCGAGGATGAGAATAATACCAGAACGAGATCAAATGTGACAGTTTAAATTCCAAAGCCCAGGTGTGAGCGATGTGGTTATTGTGAGGACGCTGATAGAGGGGGGACCCTTCAATTACCCGTGCTGGAATCACCTGCCGATGGAATGTTACGATCGCGTGGGGTTCACTCTCCACATACATAATGTTCCCCTACTGGACATCTGTGAAAAAAGAGCTTTATAGCTCATCGGATTCCTCCAGTATCAATAAATGTTCTGATTCTGTTTCTGACATGGTGACTATACTACTGCTACTGTTAGGCAGTCACAAAACTATCACAATGCACTTGTTCTCGGGAATGATGATGGTTTTTGTATGTGTGTAGAACTTCTCTCGCACCGGACGTAGCCAACCGTGCTAATCGGAGGTGAAATGCACAAACGACCGCGTGCTTCCGACGCATTTTGTGTCTCTCGTTTGAGACTTACGCTTCACTTTCCGTTCGCTGTGATATCATTACTAATGCGAGCGCTGCTTCTACATCACGTTCAGAACACAAATACAATGATTGTGTTATGTATAATAATGAACGTGTTCAATATCATCACATACAATCACACACACACGTCACTTCATATGTCCTTGCTTACTGATCTGCGCTACAAACCCCCTGGGCGACCCCGAATTCAATTCCTGCTCACGACCAATTGAATCGACTCCATCCTAAATAGTACACCCCTCGTGCGGTGTGTAAAACATCAGCACTGGGGAGACAAAGGCGGTCGGGCGTGGTGCTGGCCACCGACCCCCACGTGTGCTGCGTTGGCCTCAGGTGCTCGCCCACAGCACTTGCCTCCAACAGTCTGTTAAAGGCTACACTGGGGGGAGGGGGGGGGATCTTGGTCTTTGGTTTGCTAACCGTTATTCATACATTAACATATGAAAGCACCTGAATGGGTTTTATTTATTCATAAATGTGCATATAACGCTAATATGCGCTTGCAGGTGAGAGTTGACATGGCGGTTGGTGGACCGTGTGATGAATCCCGATGACCCGAGTTTAATTTGCGAACACCGGCCACGAATAACAGGTCCTGGCTCTCTCCCACCCCAATGCCCTGCCTTATTAAATGTCATGATTACATTTGCATAAAACTCATATACACAACAACACACACACAGGGGCTTCGCGTAGTCCCGTCCCCATAAAAAAGCGCAACGACCAAATGCAACAACCGTAAAACACTGGGCTTTTCTGCTTCCTTGCTATGGAATTCCACTGCCATCCAAAGCTCTTGTAACGATCGTTCAAATCTCAATGGGCCTCATTAACGCTGTGTCTACTGCACCTTCAAGGGTGCCCGTCTGTCGCTGGCCTCTTGGATATTTTTTTTGTTTGCTGAGCCTGTGCTCGGCTACCGCGACTACACCCGAGGGCAAAAAGTCGAAATGGATTCTAACGGCGCGTTGGTGGTGGTGGGGGGGGGGGGGGGGGCAGGCGGTGGTGGTGGTGGGGGGTATCAGTGATCGGAGCAGCCAAACCTGTTGCAAAGTCATCGGTAATGAAGTTCCCAAGCGTGCCTACGGTGAGCGACATTTCCTGTTGGCGCACCACCACGCGATCCCGGCGCACGCATTGCGAACTCGCGGTCATCTCACGATCGCCTCGCGAAGGACCTCGCCACGTGGCCTCTGCGCCACTCCGGCACCTGGAGGTGCCACCCGGCCGCCTACCACCCCCCCCCCACCTTGAGCTCCACGTGGCAACGTGCGGTGAAAGGCGGGTGGGGTGGGGTGGGGGGAAAGAACTTCGCGAAGGAAGGCCGCCAAGTTGGGCTTCGAGGTGAATTGTGACGTGACTAGCAGCTACGTGCAAAGATGACGTTTCGGAAAAGTGTCCCAGACAATATGATAATCGTCGGGAATATTTCAAGAATTTTCGTATTTATTTAAATGTTAATTGTTTGTTGTTAGAGCGATGAATCAAGAAGCCTCGGAGTCTGCGCTCTCTGGGTGCCCGGGTGAAAAGCAGTGGTGGGACTACGTCGGAGATAGGCAAACCAAAATAACAAGGAGAGACATTTTTTTTGGCGATTTCGGTCAAATAAATCGACATTTCAAGAGCCATCGCGATGCACGTGGTGAATGCGAGACTGTGGTGGTCCTTGATGAATAACGCGTCATGAAGCGGTCCTTCATGAGCAGCACACAGCTCCGGAGTGGCAGGTTTACCTACCCTCCTGGACTACGTCATTGCCACAATCAATGAAACTGAATGATAGCTGGAGGAAACACAACTGAAAAAAGCACAGCAGAATGTTCATATTCCTATATATACTTGTAGCAATTTGTTAAACGTGCTTCAGTAACAAAATTACGGAATGGCGAGATTAACCGGAAACGGGATGGAGTGCTTTTGTGAAACGCACTTTGACAACAAGAAGCGACAAAACCGTTTCTGCCTGAAGAGGAAAGTCGAGTGCAAACTGACAGCTATGGATGCATCGCTCAAAAACGTAGACACTCACAAACAGCACTAATACAAAATCGCCAAAACGTCCACGAATGGCACACGAGGGGGTGGGTGACCAGCACCACGCCTAGCCGCCTTTGTCTCCCATAGTGGCGATGTTCACACATCGCACCAGGTACTCATTTAATGCTGAGTCGACTTAGGGGAGGCCCAGGACCGGTTAAGATAATCGTCACTGGTGTTGGCCATGAGCGGGAATCGAACCCGGGTCGCCAGGTACGTAGCGCAGCGTAGCGCTAACCGCTACACAGAAAGGGGCACACACACGCACGCACACCTATCCAGGCAACAAACACAGACAGGTGACAGCACACATTGAACATCGAAACCAGTAAGAGGGCCCTGCTGGGCAGGAGACATCGCTAGAAGGGATGATGGCCGATGGACAGAGGCTGGTGATGGAACGTCAGCCACAGGAGGAGGGAACATGCCCCAGAGGATTACCAC